CTCTTCGGTTCTGGGGCGAGTATTCGGCCAGAGGAGGACGAAGGGAGACCGGTCCCAAGGCTTGGGCTAGCCCAGTTCCTTAGGGGAGTCAGCAGGGGGTCTCCCTGGGTGCGAACCCGTGTGGGAGAGTGAAACTCCCGAGTGTTTGTAGCTTTGTTTTTCAGGGTTGTCGTGAGGTTCAAATGAGAGGATGTATATGAAAACTCTGAAAAGTGCCAAGCAAATTTAAGACGGTATTGCTAGTTTGTGCCTCTGTATCCTGAGATAATGTATTTATATGTTTCTTTACATCGAGTTGTGTATCTGTCTCTCTCTCTAGGTTTGTATGTGAGCCCCTATGTGTGGATTTAAAAATACATACATTTAAGAAATCATTGACTTGTGAAGCCCCGCAAGAGGCCCAGAGCGCCCCCGCAGCCGGAGCTGCTGAGATGTCTGTTCTTCGCTTCCCTCCCACTCCTACCACCCCCAACTCCCCTCCTACTCCCTTCCGTTGAGAACTAGGAATTTCCAGCCTTTTGCAATTGGAGAGAGACAAAGAGACGGAGACTATGAGAAGCTATAGAAAAACAAAGACAAAAGACAGGTGGGGGGGAGGGATGATAAAAAAAGGTGTAGCACAAATACAAAAATCTTATTTCTTCTCTTTTTCTCCGTGAGCCTCATTATCCTCAGTGTGGATCAGGACCACTTCCCTACCTGACTCACCTGCTTCCTCCTCCCCCATCTGAGTGTTCTCAGATTACGCAGAGCACAGAAACGGATCCCATTTAATCAAGGATTAATTTATTGTCTACCCCGGTCTCTTCCAGGAAGGGAAACAGTATCCCCAGTCCCAATTTTCCAAGAACAGGGGAAAAGAGTGTGAAGAAGTGGGTGGAAGAGGAATGAGGAAATTGCTAACCAGAAGGATTGTCATTCTTGGGCACGTGTAGATTTTCATCTAGCAGATTGCACTGCTCACATTCCCCTCCCCTACGTTTTTACCAGGCCAAATCCAGTTCACTCAGCAAGGTCTGGCGCAAATGTCACCTTCCTGCACCCCCTCCCCAGGCAGAATTCATTCCCTCCATCCCTCAGAGGTCTCATGGCTCTTTGTACACCTTTCAATTATAGTTGCTTGTCTCTCCCTCAGCCCAGGACTTTTCCAGGGTAGGTGGGCTATCTGGTGGGCCCTCTGAAATGAATGCGTTGATGAGGTGATTTCCCCATCTGAGCAATCTTGAAAAGGGTGATTGACACATTTTACTCCAAAAGGGGCCAAACCTGGGCAAAACTGTTAAGTGGAGAGGTCTCCTTTCTTAAAGTTTCCAGTGAGTGTCACAAGTCTGGCTCCTTGGTCTTTGAGAATGTCCACTGTTGTGGGGCACATGGCTGGCTCAGTCAGTAGAGCATGTGACTCCTGATCTTGGGGTGGTGAGCTCCAGCACCACAGTGGGTGTAGAGTTTACTTAAATAAAAAAATAAAAATAAAATGTCCAGTGTTCTGATAAATTAATTCATACCCAGATGGGAAATGTAGAAGACTGAAATCCTTGCTAGTAACAGAAAAACATGAATATAAAATAATGATCCTCACTTTTTTTCTCTTTGTAACATGTTACAATTGTGGTCCAAGGAGTGTTGGCCTTCAGTTTAGTCATTTTACAAGAGATGCTTCACTTGGCGAAAACAAATAATCCTAACCTCTGCCTTTAAGGGGGTAGGGAGATAGTGCAACAATAGGGGGCGCCTGGGTGGCTCAGTCAGTTAAGTGTCTGCCTTCGGTTCAGGTCATGTTCCCGGGGTCCTGGGATTGAGCCCTGAACTGGGCTCCCTGCTGAGCAGGGAGCCTGCTGCTCCCCCGCTTGTGCTCCCTCTCTCTCTGTCAAGTAAATAAATAAAATCTTTTTTAAAATTCCAATATATTGTCCCCTACTTTTATAAAATACACTAAACGTGAATTACTAGAAAAGTGAAATAAATCCATATTTTTATTAGATTCAATAAATATAAAAATTCTCTTTCGAACTGGGAGAAAAGTTTCTAAATGTTTACACTTAATTTCTGAAATGCTTTCATTGCAGATTGGTAACAAACTATGAACAGCACAGTTGTAGTTAGTTTCTTTTTTTTTTTTTAAAGATTTTATTTATTTATTTGACAGAGACACAGCTAGAGAGGGAACACAGCAGGAGGAGTGGGAGAGGGAGAAGCAGGCTTCCCGCCGAGCAGAGAGCCCGATGTGGGGCTCAATCCCAGGACTCCGGGATCATGACCTGAGCCGAAGGCAGACGCTTAACAACTGAGCTACCCAGGCGCCCCAGTTGTAGTTAGTTTCTTTACATCTGTGTTTTAGATCATACTAAGAACCCTGGGCTTCATCACTGGAGATACTAGGGAATCATAAAGACTTTGAAATATGGGAGTGACACAGGCAGATCTGCATTTAGGAGTAGGGTGGATGAAGGGTTTTATGGTTGCAAAAACAGCAGGGAAGCCAGCTTGGATGAAACTAAAGTGGTCCAAGTGAGAGGTGGCAAGGTGCATTCAAATAGCCAAAATAGCTGGGCTTCTAGCTTGGGTGACTGAATAGATGGAATGGAGTATCTTCATCAAATATTTATTGTGTGCAATCCTTTTCCTAAACCAAAAAAAAAAAAAAAAAAGTATGAAAACCAAAACTTTTTATTAACTCATTTGACATCACAACCTAATCTGACCTGAACTATTTGTGGCAGACCTCCTAAACTTGTATGAAGTTATTTATAGTTCCATCTATCCCACTTTTGTTTATCCCAGTGTGAATATTTATGTCTCAATGCAGAAAAATTAATTTGTTTGATTACAGGGTGCTGTCCTAGGCCCCATTGGGATTGTTGCTATATATGTTGTATATGCACCATATTACTTTTCTAAAATCCAAAAATATTCTAAAACACATTTACTATCCAGATTTCCCACCCCATTTACTCAACAGTCTTGGCCTGAGTTTTTGGTTATTTGCATACATCAGATCAACCTGCAGATAATGAATATTCATTGCATTGTGTGCTATAGACTCTGAAGATGATTCTTTTTTTAAAAAGATTATTTATCTATCTATTTATTTTTAAAGATTTTATTTATTCATTTGAGAGAGAGAGAGGGACAGAGGGAGCACAAGCAGGGGGAGAGGCAGGGAGAGAGGGAGATACAAGACTCCCTGAGGAGCCGGGAGCCCGATGTGGGGCTTGATCCCAGGACCCTGGGACCCATTGGAGCCACCCAGGTGCTCCTTAAAATTTTATTTTTAACGGGGCACCTGGGTGGCTCAGTCGTTAAGCATCTGCCTTCAGCTCAGGTCATGTAAGCATCTGCCTTTGGCTCAGGTCATGATCCCAGGGTCCTGGGATCGAGTCCCACATCGGGCTCTCTGCTGGCGGGAAGCCTGCTTTTCCCACTCCCACTCCCCCTGCTTGTATTCCCTCTCTCGCTGTGTCGCTCTCTGTCAAATAAATAAAATCTAAAATTTTTTTTTTTTATTTTTAAGTAATCTCTATATCCAATGTGGGACTCAAATTTACTGCCCCAAGATCAACAGTCGCATCTACTGACTGAGCCAGACTGGCACCCCCTGAAGATCATTCTTAAAGTGTTTTGAGCAGTGTCCTCATGATTAAAATAAGGCTAAAAACTTGTTGTGTGACTACCTTGAAGGGACAGAACTTTTTTGGATGGTAAGGTGGAATGCGTTTATAGACAATACAGTCTCATTACTATATATCTTCTTTGTACATGTCAAAAGTCAGTGGTCAGTGATCTGGAATTAGTTCCCAAATTAGTTCCTCTGTTCTCTGGCCTTTATTCAAAACCAGAGTGAGCTCTGAATGGTGACAATTTGGGGCCTGGTAGAAAATGAAGGGGTGCGTGTATGTGTGTGTGTGCATGTGTGTGTATACAACTTTATTTTTTAAAACTTACGGATTTACAGAAAAATTGAGAAGATAGCATAGAGAGTTCCCCTATACCCTATATCTAGTTTCTACCATTGTTGCCCTACATCAGTATGGTACATTTGCCACCATTAATGGCCCAGTATTCACATGTTATTACTAATGAAAAGTCGACAGTTTATTCAGATTTTCTGAGTTTTTACCTAATATATATATATTTTCTATTCCAGGATCCCATTCATGATACCATATTACACTTAGTTCTTTTGTCACCTTAGGCTCTTCTTGGCTGTTACAGGTTCTCGGTCTTTCCTTGTTTTTGATGACCTTGATAATTTTGAGGAGTACTAGTCAGGTATTTTGTAGTTTGGCCCTCTACTGGAATTTATTTATTTTTTTTTCTCATGATTAGGTTAGTTTTATGGGTTTGGGGGAGGAAAACCACAGACATAAAATGCTACTTTCATTGCATGACATCAGGCATACATAGTATCAATGTGATTTATTATTGTTGATATTGACTTCTCCAGGTCAGCCAAGGGAATGTGTGTGAGAGAGACACAGGATGATACTGCAGCAGGGGTAGCCTAGACTTTTCCTTTTGAGGATGAAATTTCTTCTCCTGCCCATAGCTCAGACCCATTTTGACTCTTTAAATATACCTTGTTTTGAAAGCTTGAACCTTCCTCAGCAGTAACCTCCTTTCCTGAATTTCCTCTCAATTCACTGGGCTCCACGATCTCTAGTGCTCCTACCCACCACTATCAGATCCTCTAAAAAAATAAGATGCTTCAATTTCTACTAACAGTAACTGAACACCTGTTTATGTGCCAGGCACTCTTCTAGGTCCTCACTGTGTTAAATCATTTAACCGGAAGCAGCCTGATGCATAGAAAGAACTCAGGCTTTTGGGTAAGACTTGGGTTGAAACTGCAAACCAGCCCAATTAACTATGCAATCTTGGGCAGATTCTTTGTCTTAGCCTCGGCTTCTTAAATGGAGATATTTGTCTCACAAGATGCTATAAGGAATAAAAAACTTTGTCCTAATCCTCACGTTCATTTCACTTCCAACCCTCCCATCCCCATGGGTACCTGGCTGGATCAGTCTAAAGACCATGCAACTCCTGATCTCAGGGTCGAGTTCAAGCCCCACCTCGACTGTAGACATTAAAAAGTAAAATTTAAAAAAATGAAATAAAATAAAATAAAAAATTACGCCCCCAAAACCCTATGCTTACATTTTTATTTTATTTTTAAAAAATTTATTATTTTTTTTAGTAATCACTACACCTAATGTGGGGCTCGAACTTACGACGCCGAAATCAAGCGGTGCGGAACCAGCCACGCACCGCCCTAGGCCTACATTTTTAAATGCTAATGTTTATTCCCATAAAATACACAATTTTTTGTGTGTGACTTGTTTTAAATCATATAGGACTTTGGAGGACACGTCTTAAAAAAAATTGTCCCGTCAACTCCTCCCATAACAAGAAGATCGTGGTAAAAAGGAAAGAGAACAGAAGAAACTTCAGACAATTTCGATGGAAATCCCAAATTTGGTCAAGGAGGCCTCACCCATTCTGATTTTCTATTGGCTAAGCTTACCATCAATCTCACCAGTTGTAAATAAACTGGAGACGGAAGCATGTTGTTAAGGGGTGGGATCTTCCTGTCGCCATTGCTAAGGTGGAGGGTTCGTTTTCTAATAGGCTGGAAGCTGCTTTTCCCGCCCTCTCGCAGCAGTTGCTAAGAGGCGGGATTATAGAGTTCGCAAAGGACTGAGTGCTCGAAGCTCCACCCATCCGATTGGTTGGTAGGGGGCAGGTCTTGCAGTGGATAGGCTGCTGGCCCTGCCTGTTCCGGTTAGTTGCTGGGGAGAGGCACGTGAAGAGGAGGCGGCGTGAGGCGACCACGGCGGGAGGAATGAAAGTGGCGGTCTTACCGGCAGTTGGTGTGGGGCCCTGGGGCTGCGGGGCTGGAGGCCGTGGGGGCGGCGGGGTAGTGCGGCTGCTCCTGATCCTCTCCGGCTGCTTGGCCTGCGGCTCAGGTACCGCCGGGGCAGCAGCTGCCATCGGGGCGGGTGCCGAGGGGGATATATTTAGAAAAGTGGGGCGTGTCCCCAGGGTGCGGACCGTTTTTCTGCGGTGGGGTGCGGACGTGGTGCGGAAAAAGCAGCTTCGTCGTGGGCCCTGAGGGGTCAGGGCCCTGGGCGGCCTGGGGGAGCTACTAGAGTGGGGAGGAGCCTGGAGTCTTTTGGCAGAGACTGGAAGGGAGGCCTGGACTGGGTGAGATGCGGTCCTGGGGGCTGCGTCGCGCTGCGTGGGCCTCCCCGGTTTTCCTAGTTAAAAGTGAGGGGACCCGAGTACCATTGCTGGCAGACAGAGCTGCCACGAGAATGGGGGCATCCCATTCATTGAGCAAATTATCAACGCCTTCTGAGCGTGTGCTCTGTCCAGACTCGGCACGCGTGTGGCTGAACGGATCATTTTAATTCACTGAAATGGAGTGACTTCTATCTAATGTCTTCTGTCCTTGTAAGATCCTGGCGCCGTTAAATTCGCGTTTCCAAAAAAAAAACAACAACAAACAAACCACCACCACTACCAAAAAACACCATTCAGCATCAGATAGGTTTCTTTTGGAAATTTATTCATTTCTCAAGCAAACTTACTGCTGTCTACCCATTGCTGGATAATTGGCTTTGAACGGAAACGAAACTGTTGCCCTTTAACGCTCTAACTCATAAAACCTAGAATGTTTCTAAAAAACCTCCTACCCTCTTATCAAATGCACAAGAGAAAAATAAGTGAGGTTTCCAAGCTCCACTGGAGAGAGTTTGAAACATGGGGTTAAGGATAATCATATCTTGGGAACACAGTATGCTCTCACCTCCCCCATCCTTTGCTGCCTATCTCATGCTGTCACTTAAGATTATCCTTAGCTGCAGCTTTAAGGTTGTCTCAGGATCCATAGATCTAGTTCCAAAGTGTAACGTCCTCCTGCAATATTTTTTTGGGGGGGTGGGGGGAAGGTAGTAGATATCCAGGAAGGCACTTTTTCAGAGTAACATTGAAGGGCTACTTATGATCTGAATGAACTTGGGCCAGATGGTTAACCTCTAAAATGGGGTAGTCGATTGTGGGGATGAAAGAAAATATATGCAAAAATGTCTCTACCTAGTCAGTGCCCAATCAGCAGACACTTTAAGTTTCTTTTATGAGAGGAACCGGGGTTTCTTAGCTTGGAGAAGGGTAAACTTGGGATGATATTGTGTGACCTGGTAGATCGTGTGGGTGGCAGCTACAAAGAGACAATCATGTAGTAGAGAAGAACTTTCTAAAAGCCAGAGGTACCTAAAGATAAAATGCAGTACTTCAAAAGGTAGGTAGTTTTTTTTCTATTTTATTTAACTAATTAATTTATTTAAAGATTTTATTTATTTATTTGACAGAGAGAGACATAGCGAGAGAGGGGAACACAAGCAGAGGGAGTGGGAGAGCCACGGAGCAGGGAGCCCGATGTGGGGCTCGATCCCAGGACCCTGGGATCATGACCTGAGCCGAAGGTAGATGCTTAACGACTGAGCCACCCAGGCGCCCCTGATTTTATTTATTTATTTGACAGAGAGAGAAGGAGCACAAGTAGGCAAAGCAGCAGGCGGAGGAAGAGGGAGAAGCAGACTCCCCACTGAGCAGGGAACCCAATGGGGCTGGATCCCAGGACCCCAGGATCATGACCTGAGCTGAACATAGACGCTTAACGGACTGAGCCACCCAGACGCCCCTGGAATTTTTATGTACTTTAAAAATCAATTTGGGGGCACCTCGGTGGCTCAGTCGGAAAAATCAATTTGTATGAACTTTTTAATATATTAAGGATATATATTTTTTATGATCTGTTTATTGAAAATTTTTCTTTAATTTGTTTACCCTCTTTTACCTTTTTTTTTTAATATTTATTTGAGAGAGAGAGCCAGAGAGAGCACGTGTGTGGGGAGGGGCAGAGGGAAAGGGAGCTGCAGACTCTCCAATGAGCAGGGAGCCCCAATGACACTGAGCTGACTGAGCTGATTTGACGCTGCTGAGCTGACTCAGGCTTGATCCAGGACCCTGGGATCATGACCTGAGCCCAAGGCAGACACTTTTTTTCTCTCTCTCGAAGGCAGACGCTTTATGGACTGAGCCACCCAGGCAGCCTTACCTTATTTTTTTTATTGAAGTATAGTTGACATACAATGTTATTATTTTCAGGAATACAACATAGTAATTTGACTAATACATTACACAATGCCCACAGTAAGTGCGGTCCCTTTTTACCTTTTTACCTTTTTATTTTTTTTAATTTTTATTATTTTTTAAAGATTTTATTTAGGGGGAGAGAGAGAGCATGAGGGGGGAGGGGCAGAGGGGGAGGGAGAAAGAATCCAAAGCAGACTCCACACTAAGTGCGAGCCCCAAGCAGGGCTTGATCCCACCACCACAAGATCACAATCACGACCTGAGCCCAAACCATGAGTCAGTCGCTCAACTGGCTGAGCCACCCAGTCACCTTCCTTTTTACCTTTTTTAATAGATTTATATTTTTATGTAGTCACTTAATTTTATTCTCTAGAGTTATTTCCATTGCTTTATGCTTAGAGAGCCCTCAAAAATTGAATTTATATCATTTTTATGCTACTCTTTAATTTTTTTATTTTACTTTTTAATCTATAATTACTGTTAGCATTTGGTGTAAGGTGAGGATCTACATAGGTTTTATTTTCCAAATAACCAGTCAGTTGTCCCAGCATCCCATTGAATGATCCTTTGCTAAGTGCACTGTTTAAGATGCTATTATTTATTTATTTATTTATTTATTTATTTTTAAAGATTTTATTTATTTATTTTGACAGAGCGAGACACAGCAAGAGAGGGAATACAAGCAGGGGGAATGGGAGAGGGAGAAGCAGGCTTCCGCGGAGCAGGGAGCCCGATGTGGGGCTCGATCCCAGGACCCTGGAATCATGACCTGAGCCGAAGGCAGACGCTTAACCACTGAGCCACCCAGGCGCCCCAAAGATGCTATTTTTAAGAAGGCTTTTAAGTATGAGCTGAGTTACCTCTTGAAAGAAATGAACAGAGGCTATTTAAGGTTGTTTTTCATGACTTTTTAGGGTCTGTTCCCATCCTCACATACTGTGAATCATTTTCATTGATTCTACCTGTAGATGTTACCAGTGCTGCTGATTAGTTTGTAATGACTGTAAACAAGTATGAAGTTATTAAGCTTTGAATAACTGCTTTATGGGTAAATGTGATAAGCAAGTTATGATTCACTACATTCCATGAAGGCATTTTCCAAAAATCTTTGGGCTCAGAAGGCATTTTCTTGAATGTTTAATCCATTCTGCTTTTTAACATGCTGGCTAACTTACTTCTGGTGGGAGAGGAAGAAAGGTGGTGTATATCCTTTTGCTACAGGAAGCACAGAATTTTAAGGGGGCATTTTGACAACTTGTATATGTTTAAGATTGTTTGGTTTAGTTCTATGTTGCTAACAGTTTAAGCTAGAGCTGGAGTGGTGATTGTTTCACAGATTATCCCTTTTGACTGAATTGGTGTATTTTACCGCTCAGTGACTTTCCAAAGATGTGGCTGGCCAAGGTGCTGATTTCCATAGGAGGTTGCTATTAAGGACATTTATTTATTTACTTATTTACTTACTTAAAATTCTTTCCCTAGAATGTTAGGTAACTTGGGAAAATGAAGAACTAGATTTTAAAAGATGTTGCTTATTATAGAGCTCTTTTATTTCTTTAAGAAAATGGCATCAGTGGGGCACCTGGGTGGCTCAGTTGGTTAAGCAACTGCCTTCGGCTCCAGTCATGATCCTGGAGTCCCAGGATCGAGTCCCGCATCGGGCTCCCTGCTCAGCGGGGAGTCTGCTTCTCCCTCTGATCCTCCCCCTCTCATGCTCTCTGTCTCCCATTCTCTCTCTCAGATAAATAAATAAAAAATCTTTAAAAAAAAAAAAAAGAAAATGGCATCAGAGAATTTTAAAATTAGTTTCAAAACACTGATGCCTTTCTTGGTGTTAAGTTTTTCAAATGCCCTGTGCTATTGACATTATTTGTATCTCGCCATCTTCTTGAAAATAATAGTGGGTTAAAAAGGTGTAGTTTTCTATTACTTGGTGCTGTGGGAGAGAAGGGGTTACAAAGTGTGACTCTTGTTTTTTATTGGACAGGTGTATGTTTTTACTTTGGGTTTGTACACAGACTGGATATTCTTTTAAGGAAGTGATAGATTCTTGTACAACATTTTTTTTTAATACTTCCCAATGTTTTTGCATACCTCAATGAATTTGTCAATATAGTAGTTTTAGCATTCCCATAACCTTATTCTCTTATACTCTCCAGAAGTAAATAAACTTTTTTTAAAAAGTTCTATTTATTTAAGTAATCTCTATAGCCAACATGGGGCTTGAACTCACAACCCTGAGATCAAGATTCGAATGCTCTTCCCACTGAGCCAGCCAGGTGCTCCAAGAAAATAAACTCTTGAACCATATTTATGAGTGGATACTCTATCAGTACATTTGTGGGCTTGCTAGTGAGACCTTTTAAAAAGGTTTCATTTTATGAAAGATAGGCTAGGAGGAAATCCTAATTACTACTGGACTAAACCCTAGTGAGAAGCTGATAGATGGGGGTTCAGGGCATGCTACCTCGAAATACAGCATCTTGGCATATTGAATATTTTAAACTGAGGGAGTTTAAGAAAACAGCAGAAACAGGAAGGTCTGTCTGATCTCCCCACCTCACCCTTCTTCTCTGAAACAGGCCATAATATCCTGTGAGAGGTGCCCTCCCTCCCCATACCTGAGGAAATGCAGATAACGGGACAGTGAGAGGATTCCAAGCAAACAGGCCTTTCTCAGTTTCCCTCAGCTTACTACCATTACTACATACTCTTTACCCTATCATATTCCTCCGCAAGTGTCTACTCTTCATGAAACGTAGCATAAAGGACATAGGTCTATTTCTTTGGGTCTGCATTTCCTTATGAAGGCTTTCGTGTCACATAAAACTTTTGTTAAATAAATGTGTATGCTTTTGTGTTGTTAATCTATCTTTGTCAGTTTAAATTTTCAGACCCAGCCAGGGACACTAAGAGGATCAAGGAAAACTTTTTCTTCCCCTACAATATGAAGACTGAATTTCCTTTCCTTTCCTTTCCTTTTCTCTCTCTTTTTTAAATATTTTATTTATTTGAGAGAGAGCGCCAGAGAGAGCACAAATGGGTGGAGGGGCAGAGGGAGAGGGACAAGCAGACCCCCGCTGAGCAGGGAGCCCACACTGGGCTCCATCCCAGAACCCTGGGATCATGACCTGAGCTGAAGGCAGATGCTTAACCAACTGAGCCACCCCGGCTCCCTAAGACTGAATTTTCTTAAAAATTGAGATATAATTAATGTATAATAAAATTCACCCTTTCAGTGGTTTTTAGTATATTCATAAGGTTGTGCATCCATCACCATTGACTAATTCCAGAGTATTTTTATCACTCCAAAATGAAACCTCATGCATCTTAGCAGTTCCCCATTCACTTCTCCTCCCAGCCCCTGCAAACCACTAAAATCTACTTTCTGTCTCTGTGGATTTGCCTCTTCTGGACATTTCATATAAGTGGAATCATTCCATATGTGGTCTTTTTGGTCTGGCTTCTTTCATTCAGAATAATGTTTTCAAGGTTCATCCGCATTGTAGTATGTATTAGTACTTCCTTTTATAGTTGAACAATATTCCACTGTTTAGATGGATATGTCACATTTTGTTTTATCCATCGGTTCATCAGTTGGTGGACATTTGGGTTGTTTCCACTTTTTAGTTATTGTGGATATTGCTGTTGTGAACATTCATGTACAAGTTTTTGCGTGAGCTTGTGTTTCGTTTTCTTGGGTATGTACATAGGAGTGGAATTGCTGGGTCATATGGTAACTCTGTGTTTAACTTTTTGAGAAACTGCCAAACTGTTTTCCAAAGAGGCTGCGCCATTTTACATCCCCAGCAGCACTGTGTGAGGGTTCTAGTTTCCCACATCCTGGCCACCTCTTGTTATTGTCCTCTTTTTGATTTTAGCTTTCCTAATAAGTGTAAAGTGGTATTTCATTGTGGTTTTGATTTGTATTTCCCTCATGACTAATGATGTTGAGCATCTTTTCCTGTGTCTCTTGGCTACTTGTGTATCTTCTTTGGAGAAATGTCTATTCAGATCCTTTGCCTATTTTTACAATTGGGTTATTTCTCTTTTTATTGTTGAATTGTAGCTCTTTATATATTTTGGATAGTAGCCCCTTATCAGATACATGATTTACAAATATTTTTTCCCATTTTGTGCATTTGTCTGTTTACTTTCTTGATAAGGTCCTTTGAAACACAAGTTTTAAATTCTTATGAACTCTGATTCATTTGTCTTTTCTTTGGTTGCTTATGCTTTTGTGTCATATCTAAGAAACCATTGCCTAATCCATGGTCATGAAGATTCACACTGTGTTTTCTTCTAAGAGTTTTGTAGCTTTTGCTCTTATGTTTAGGTTTAAGGCAGAAATTAACTTCAAAATTAGTCTTAGCTTCACCAAAGCCATTTTGGACTGGCAAGTATCCTTGCCTTTATCATGTGTGTAACTTTGTTTTTTTAAGGTTTGGTTGAGGTTTTTGTGTTTTGTGTTTTGTTGTATTTAGTTTACTTATTTAGTTTATTTATTGTTACTTAGTTTATTTTTAGTTTATTTAGCTTAAATCTACCTATCTTTGTACCTAGACTAGAGTGATAACTAAATTTCCACTTAGAGTACACTTAATAAGTTGGTAAGTACAATATAGAACTAAGGAAAAAGTTATTTAACTGTTTTGTGGTAAAGAAGGTAGCTTGTGCAAACTTGGGTGGGAAGTTACAAGAGAGTGGTCACTGTTAAGCCTTGAGTTGGCTGAGATTGAATACAAACTTCTGAATGGAGAATCTTCTGTCTTGGCAAAATCAAAGGGAGGGCATATATTAGTTGACTGCTCTTAAAACTTGAAACAAAACAACTGGAAAAAAGCAACTTTGTGATCTGTTAGTATCTTCTTAAAGTCCTGTATATACAAAAACATTGCCAAATCTGTTCATTCTACTCAGGAAAAGGATAGAGGAAATAAATAGATGGGGTTACTTGAGCTGTGCCTTTGTAAGGGAAGCAGGACCTGGGTGTGAATCTCAGTTAAGTTATTCACTAGCGGTGTGACTTTGGGCAAATTGCTTAATCCTTCTTAAGCATCAGTTTTTCAAATTTGTGAAACAGGGATTATGAGAGTGCCTGCCTCACAGCATTGTTGGAGAGTTAAATGAAAAAACAGCATACTGTCTTAATAAACACTTAATAGTAGCTTTTATTATTACTTATTCTGTGTTAGTGCCTATAATATCTAAATAATTAAATTTGACAGAAATAAGACTCTGCCTTATTTCTTCTCTCATTTCAGTTTCCTTGTTTCTCAGTCACTGACATGTTAACCCCAACGTTAAGAAAGTGGTCAGGGGTCAGTACTGTAACAGCATTGCGTGGTAACCGGTGCTGGCTACGCTGCTGAGCACAGCATAAGGAATAGACTTGGGGACTCACTGCGTCGTGCACCTGTTACTAATGTAACATTGTATGTCAACATACTTCAATTAAAAAAAGGAAACAAGGGGCGCCTGGGTGGCTCAGTTGGTTAAGCGACTGCCTTCGGCTCAGGTCATGATCCTGGAGTCCTGG